TTTCTGGGCTTGTTTTTATGACTCTGCCTCACAGGCTTTAATGTGAGATATACGTGTGCACATCCTGACCAGCTTCTCCACTGAGCTTCTTTGCTGAAGAAAGGGTCTGAACCTATGAATTTCATGTCCTGAGAACACTGGTTTATTTCTCTTCATATGACCTGTTCGGTAGCTGCTGCCTTTGAAGCAGGGTCTTTACCAGCAGCAGGCAGTGAACTTCCATTCCCTCTGAGCTCCCTGCACATCCGAGGTGGGTTGTCGGACTGTAAACCAAAGGTTCTGTTGTATTACTCACTGTGTTGATTCACCCTAAGCTGAGAATCAAGGAACCGTTTTCTGGCTGATTTAGAAAGCAAATAACATCATGGAGCAAAAGCAATGTCAGGGTGCCGAAGTTGGGGCCAGATGTGAGACCGGCCCAGAAGTCTTACACAATCACAGAGGATGGAAGGCTCCTCTTTGTTAGGCATTGAGGACGTGTCTTCCCTGAGGGAGGTTTAGAATTCCCTGTCTCATCTTCCCAGTTTGCTGGACCACAGCGGAGGAAGGAACTCATCAATTACAGGCCACTCCGACCCCAGCACATGTTCCAAAGCACTTCTTGTTTTTTCAAGCCCCATATTCCCAGAACCAGGAAAATTTCACTTCTCATGGGGAGGTAGAAAAAGTCAGGGAGCTGCAAGTGGAAATCTTTAGCCATCGAGGATGAGTAAAGGCTGGTGGAGTCCAGCCTTCCTAACAGGCAGCTGTGTGGCAGGCTTCCAGCTCCCGCTTTGCTCCGAGGTTGCAGCTGTAGCCCTTCCCGAGACCCCAGCATTAGGAAGCTGCCCCAGCAAGCAGATCACCTCTGTTCACCTGCATTCCCACTCCCGTTCTCTCTTTTCTATTCAAACATTTCCATCTCATGATCACATCCTCTGAGCTGACACACCCTTTTACTGTCCTTAGCAGAAGTGGGCACAGTATGAAGCCAAAAACAATTAAACTGTAATAGGATGTTATATTCACCCAGTGTTTCGCCCAGTTCCCTACTTCACACAGGTGCACCCACGAAGCAGGTGACAAAAATCAGGCGAAAGGTGGTTTCTTTGTGAGATCAGGTGGAAAGGGCAAACAGGATGGAAACACCGTCTAAGAGGCAGCAGCAGGCTTTGGACGACATTGGGATCCTCATGGAACGAAGAATGTGAGTGAGGTGACCGGAGGATAACCTGTCCTTTGCTTCGTCCAGCTTCTGCCGACAGTCCTTGGATTTGTGGCCACAAGGCCACGTCTTCAAGGCCAGCATCTTCAAATCTCTGCTGCATCTTCACGTTGCCTTCTTTGTGCATCTGTGTCAAATCTTCTCTGCCTCCTTTTATTAGGACACATGTGATTGCCTGAAGGGCTCACTGGATAATCCAGGATGAGCTCCCCATTTAAGCATCCTTTAATTTCATCCCATCTCTAAAGACTATTTCCAAATGAGCTAACGTTTACGCATTCCAGAGATTAGAGCCTGATATCTTCGGAGGCCGTTATTCAGCCTGTTGTAATGTCTTGCCCATTTTCTGTCTGGATTGTTTGTTTTCTCTGTTAAATTTTGAGATTTCTTTATATAATAGTCTAGATACAAATCCTTTGCAGATATGTGGCTCACAAATATTTCCTCCCATTCTGTAGCTTGTCTTTTCACCCTCTTCACAGGGTCTTTGGCAGAGCAAATCTTTTCCATTGTGATGAGGTTCAATTTATCTGTTTCTCTTCTTTTAGAGCCTGCTTTTCATGTCAGGTCTACGCACTCTTACCTAGCCCTTGGTTCTGAAGATTTTTCCCAAGTGATGCCAGTCTGTTTCTAAAAGTGTTAGGGTTTTATGTTTTACATTTTCGCTAAAAGTGTCATAGTTTTATATTTAATGTTTTATGTATGAGTCCATGCTGTCTGTGCTGTTTGCCATGGTGAACTTTATCACAAGGTTATGAAGATGGCTAGGTTCTGTGGTAGTAGACTGTTTTACCGTTTGCATATTTTCTCTCCCTCATCCCTATATGAGGATTATACATCTGTGCCCATTGCCAGGCAGGAGACTGACACCCGGAATGTCAGGTTCAAGGATACCCACTGCAGCTGTGATGCCAGGGTCAAGAGACCACCACTGCCACTGCAGAGGTCTTTCCATGCCCACGGAGGGAGTGACTGGACACCGGAACACAGCTGTTGGGACACCAACAGCTTGCCAGGGAAACACAGCTGCAGGGGCAAGAAAGGGGGTTCCATCCCATCCCTGCCTTCCAGATCGCACGGAGTGCATCTGATTGGCAGCACCAGACCCACACCCAGAGCCCATTTGCTATGTCTACTGAACAGGCTTCTAACCGCTCCAGGCTCACCTTCCATCGTACACTTTCTTCTCCTTCCCTTCCTTTGTTTGAAGCCTCCTTTATTGTAAAATATAACAAAAGTACAGAAAGCACTCAAACCAAAGTGTCCAGCTCAATGACTGATCGAAGCAACCCTCATGCACATCGGCCAGTGCGGAGCCAGAATGTCAGCGCCCAGACCCCTCTCTTTCTCCCACCAGCACTTCCTCCTAAGTGACAGTAAACCTGACCTTTATGGTCATCACTTGGTGGTTTATAAAAATTTTTTTTGCCAGTTTAACATGTATCCCTAAATACTATGGTTTAATTTTGCCTATTTTTGAGCTTTATATAAAGGGACTTATGCAGTATTATATTTTTGCTTCTTTGCTCAGCCTTGTGAGGTTAAACACCCCAGCTGGCCCACACAGGGACGTTGCTGCATACTACACCACTGCATGAGTTACAGCGCCATTTACTTAGGCTTCCTGCTGCTGACAGGCATGGAATGGTTTCCCAGTTTCGCTGTTCCAGGTAATGCTGCTATGAACAATTACATATATGTCTTTTGACATGCATAAATGCGTTTCAGTTGGGTATACATGCAGGTGACGTTAATTTTTTTTTAGGTGAGGTTTAGGTAAAGATGGTGAAAATTCTTCTTTTTCTTTTTTTTTCTTTCTTTTGTCTATGGATGTCCAATTGCTCCAGCATCTTTTGTTGAAAAGGCATGAGAGGTTTTTTGTTTTGTTCTGTTTTGATGTTCCAGCCAGAGTGAGCCTCCTAGACTAAAACTCGGGCCATTCCATCCTCCCATTTAAATAGTTCATTGGCTTCTTACTGCATTAAGAGGACATCTACCTCTCCAGCCTCATCCTGGGCCACTTACACCTGCCTCCCACTACATCCCAGCCACCCTACCTTCTTCTTAGTCCCCCAAACAATCCAACGCCTTGTGACTGTCTTTCCCTTTGCCTGGAAGGCTCACCTCCTGGATCCCCAGGAGACTGGCTCCTCCTCACCACTGAAGTCTCAGTTTAAAATCACCTTCTCAGATAAAGCTGCTCTGACCACCCACAAGAGCAGAACCCTGCACACCACTGCCCATCCTGCTGTATCACAGCAGCTTGCATATGCCTTCCACAGCCTTGGGCACCATCTGGAACTGCCTTAATTACTTATTTATTGTGTACCTTCCGCAGTAGGTGGTAAGGTGTAGGAAAAAGGGGCCAAGTTGTTGATGTTGTCCACCATCCGTTCCCCAGTATGCAGCCCCCTGCCTGGCATACAGTAGTTGCATCAAAAACATCAGTTAGATGTTGTCATCAGATTAGAGTTTGTAATGATATGTCCAATTTTGTCCCAGTATAAGGGGGAATGTCCTAGAAACTAGAGCTGTGTGAAAGGGCATGGGCTGTTTGGCATATCCGAAGTCCTTGCCCCGGGATGAGATGACACAAAAGGTGTTTCCATATCTTGGGAAGGCTGAAAGCAATGTTGCTGGTTCCTCTCAACTCTGAAATGGTGGCGCTGGAAGGAAGTGGGGAGGAGAAGCGGGGATTCCCTTACAGACAAGTTCAGAGTTCAGTCAGGTCCGCTGAAGACGGGAGCTGTGGGGTCCAGTTTGGAGAGTCATATGTTTTTATTAATCAAAAGAGAAGGTCTATATTATGCTTCCACACAAAAAAATTAGAATGAGAATACAGGGAAGGTGCAATGAAATCATTATGCTTAGAGTATGTTGGCCAAAAATGGGAGGACCCTGGAGGTGGATGGGTATATGTGTAGGTGTGTATGTGTGTGTGTATGTATACTATGGAGAAGATCTCGAGCACATTTGTCAATAAGGAAGTCTCAGCTCTGCATTGGTTTAAATTCCAGTCCTCCCATCTATTATCTCTGTGACTTTGGGCAAATTGCTTCTATCTGTGTGCTATGTTTTCCTCATTTGAAAAACTGGGAAAAAATTGGGTTTACAGTCATAATAACCTACATGACAGAGTCTTTTTTGTATTCTGTTGTGTGTGTGTGTTCTTTTTTTAGGGCAATTCCCCATCTCTCCCCACTTCCCCCAACCCCAGATATTATAAACTGCTCCTGAGCAGGTCATTCTGTGACTTTATCATCTGTGTGTCTTGTACCAACTACTGTAGTATATCCCATGCAGTGGACATTCAATGAACACCTGGCATATAGCAGCTGCTCTATACATATTTGTTGAATAAATGAACAAGTGTTGAACTGCATGTGGTAATTATAGAAGTTGGCACAATTTCTAAAAACCTATTTTTCTTCTCAGCCCAAAATGATTGTCGCTGTAGGCGAATGCACGTTTTAGTATTTCAAGGTCAAATAAATCTGCAATAAAAATTTATCTAACAATCACTACACATTCAGAGCACAGTGTGATTGGGGAAGAATTTCAGCCTCAAATACAGGCATATACATTCTTTGGAACCAGTTGGTCCTCTGAAGGGCTGACAGTGGTTATAAAAGTCGGTTTGTCCTTTCCTGCGCTTATCTTTCTTTTATTTGTCTTCACAGCCTTCCTGTTTGGGAGTAAAATGGAACCGGTAATTAAACGGCAAAGACCCAAAAGAACGGGAACGGCGAATCTGGCTTGTTGTGACCCTCGCGCCACCCCGTAGTGTGCGGCCGACGCAACGGCGGCGCGCGCTTTTGAAAACGGAAGGGATTCAAAACGCAAAGACTGCGCGAGGTGCTGTATTGCCCGGTGGGACGCCGAGGCAGCTGCGGAGCCCTGTCGGGGGCGCTCGGAACCGGTTTCCAGGCCTGGACCTCCCGTCCTCCCGCCCTGCGGCTCCGGTAAGGAGAGCGGGTCGCGGGCGCTGGCCGCGCGTGGGCCTGGGGCGGGCCGAGGCCGCAGCGTCCGCTCGGGGACCCCGGGGGCCTGGAGGGAAAGTCGCAGCGTCGGGACCGTTAAACTGGCAACGACCGTAGGGATCATCTTTGCAACCCAAACCTGCGTGCGCGTCTCAATCAAGGGGTAGGGTGGGGATTTCGAGAGAGAAAGCGCCCCTTTTTTCGAAGCTAAACCTGAACTTCTTATTGCAGCCGCGTAGTAGACAGCGACAGCTTTGGGAGCCGCCGGCCTCGCAAGCTGACATTGTTTTACCGGTGGTTTTGCAGATGATCACGGTGAGGCCGGGTCTCTGGCCTGAGGCGAAACCTAGTCTTGAGGGATGTGTTCGTTATGCAGCAGATCCTAGCACTGGGTACCTGGTGGAAACAGTTCATGACCTCCGCCGAGTGCGCCCCCCTCTCGGCTCTAGGGGAGGCCAGCACTGGTGAAGGGCTGCTGGCGGGAATGGAGGCGGGAGGGGTTGACGAAGAGTAGGAACCACAGTTCCCTCCGTAGACCCTCAACTCCTGTTGCTTCCAAGTTTCAAGTGACCTTAGTGAGCAGGTGAAAGGATTTTAACCAACCAGCCCTCTGTAACCAGCCTGATCCCGGATCAGGGGATCAATGGTCTGTAGCTCTACCTCCCGGAATCCTACCCATAGTGTATGTGAGGTGTAAAGGACCTTAGACAGAGTCTGATCAGAACTTTCCCTTTTCTTTTTCATTCTACTTCTCCCCTCTATTTTGCCTTTCTTCGCAATGATCTCCTTTTTTCCCCTGTTCTTTTTTTCAATTTTTCTGCTGCCTCTCTACACTTCAGCTTTGCCAGTAGTGTCTGTGTATTTGTTCAGCTATAGGGTGGCCTGGGATCCAGAAGTTATTGACATATCTGGTGATTAGCTTACTGAGCCCTGTTAACTTTTTAATACTGTGTCCTAAACAGTACTCGATTTTTTAAAACTATCCTAAATAGTCCACAGACTATGAAATTCTGCCCGCAGTTATTACTGTCATTTCTAATGTATCTTCATCTAAAATAATTACAATTTTATGCTGTTGTTTTCACAAGAATCTTGTGATTTAGATTAGTATGGTTATTTAGCAATTAATTTATAGGGAATGTGTATATAATATATAGAGAGTCTGAGATGGTTTGGGCTAGTGGCTAGAAGCCATCTATCAGACTAAGGGCCTAAACTGTGTTTAGCCATGAAAAAAGTTGCCCCGGACAGCTGCGAAATGGATAGGATATGGTATATGCAGATGCGAGTAGCTTGGAGTGGAAGGTGGTCCTAGAGTGTCCTAGAATGCAATGACATTTTAAAAGATTTGTATTTAAACTAGGTGTTTTTAATTGGAGGAAGATTTTTTTTTTAAACACATTCCTTTTGAATATCAAATCCTCTTTATGCTGAGAGGGGAAAAAGGGGAATGAAACTTACAAGGCAGTAAGATTTCCAGGACGCGATATTTACCGGGCCTCTTTTATATCCTCCTTTTCTGGCTCCTCCTCCAGCTGCTTTTTTTCTTCATTCAGAGTTGTCTTTTTTCTATCTGCACTTACTTCCTACGTGATCTTATCTAGTCTCTTGGCTCTCATACCATATATATGCTGATATGCCACAGATTTATAGCTTTAGCTTGGATCCAGACTTAAATCCAACTGCCTATCTCACATTTCTACTTGGATATCAAATAAGGCATTCACAATTGAGTTCCTGGTCTCAGTCAGGCCACCTCTATTGTATCTTTGACTTTTATCTCATTCCTAACAAAAATACAAACATTAGGAAGTCCTATTGGTTCCAGATTCAAAATATATCCAGAACCCAACCATTTCTCACCACCTCTGCTGCTGCCATCCGGATCCAAGCTACCGTTCTCTCTCCTGGATTATTGCGGGGGCTCCCTTATTGGTCTGATTGCCTCCACCCTTGTTGGTCTTTCAGTTAACAAACCCAAGCCTGAGTGATCCTGTTGAAACGTAAGATGGAGTGTATCACTCCTCCGTGCAGAACCCTCCAATAGCTTCCCATTTCTCAGTAAAAGTTAAAATCCTTACTGTTACTAGAGCTCTTTGAATAAGTCATTGTCCTTACGGCTGAAGCACTCTCTCCCCAACTCTGATTTCATTTCCATCTCCCTCATGCTAGCTCTGTGGACTTTGCTTATCCTTGGACGTTTCTGCCTCAAGGTCTTTGTACAGTTGACCCTTAAGCAACATGGGTTTGAACTGCGTGGGTCTACTTTTTTTTTTTCTTTCTCCCTTCTTTTTCATCCTCCTCCACTCTTTCTATGTTAGGTGTCATATGCTGTTCTCTTTGTATACCCCTTGACTGACTTTGTGGGTAGCTGATTTAATTTTGTATTTGGTTAGCAGTTGATTGGTCTACTTCTTTTACTGTGGTTTTATTTTCTCTGGTGACGGTCTTAGGAGAACTTCCATCTAGAGCATTCCCTTTAAAATACACTGTAGGGATGGTTTGTGGGATATAAATTCCCTTAACTTTTGCTTATCTGGAAATTGTTTAATTCTTCCTTCAAATTTAAATGATAATCTTTCTGGGTAGAGTATTCTTGGTTGGAGGCCCTTCTATTTCATTGCATTGAATACATCATGCTACGCCCTTCTGGCCTGTAAGGTTTCTGCTGAGAAGTCTGATGATAGTCTGATGGGTTTTCCTTTGTGGTGATCTTTTCTCTCTCTCTGGCTGCTTTTAATACTCTGTCCTTGTCCTGGATCTTTTCCATTTTAATTATTGTATGTCTTGGTTTTTTCTTCCTTGGGTCCCTTGTGTTGGGAGATCGGTGCACTTCCATAGCCGGAGAGACTATTTCCTTCCCCAGATTGGGGAAGTTTTCAGCAATTATTTCTTCAAAGACACTTTCTATTCCTTTTTCTCTCTTCTTCTTCTTCTGGTACCTCTATAATGCAAATATTACTCCATTTGGATTGGTCATACAGTTCTCTTAACATTCTTTCATTCCTAGAGCTCGTTTTTCTCTCTGTGCCTCAGCTTCTTTGTAGTCCTGTTCTCTAATTTCTATTACATTTACCGTCTCCTCTACCTCATCTAATCTGCTTTTAAATCCTCCATTGTATGTTTCATTTCAGCTACTGTATTATTTAAGGGATCTATCTCCCTCCTGAATTTGTCCCTTAGCTCTTGAATATTTTTCTGTAGCTCCATTAGCATGCTTATGACTTCTATTTTGAATTCTTTTTCAGGAAGATTGGTGATTTTAGTTTCACTGAGCTCTTTCTGGTGTTTGAGGGATTTTGGATTGAACAAGGTTCTTCTGCCTTTTCATAATCCTATTGGATAATGAGAAATATTAGGTTTGTGTAGGCTGCACCCTCTAGTGCCCAGAAGCTCTGCTCTTTGGAGCTGCCCAGCACCTAGAGCAATGGTAATGGTTGCAGGGGAGCAGTGCCAGTGCCTACTCTAAAGAGAGAGCTCTTCTGCTTCCCGGCCGCAGTGCCTGCCTCCACTGTCAGGGCCAGTGAGCCGCTCACACAGGGAGCAGCCTCTGTGTTAAGCCCGTAAGCTGCTGTAGGCAGGGCTGCCCTCCTGCTGGCATGGAGCAATGGTGGGGGTCACAGACGAGCCACGCTGATGCCTGCCAGGAGGACAGAGCTCTTTCCTGCTTCCTGGCAGCAGTGCCTGCCTCCACTGTCAGGGCCCGTGAGCCACGTGTGCTGGGAGCAGCCTCTGCATTAAGCCTGTGTAGTTGCCTAGGCGGGGCTGCCCTCCGACTGGTCTGGAGCGATGGCGGAGGCAGAAGATTTGCACACAGGTGCTGGCCAGGAGGAAGGAGCTGCAATCTGCTTATCACGGTGGGGGGCCTTGGGGCTGTGTAGCAAGCCAAGGGGATGGAGCGCCTGAAGCTCTTGAAAGTTCCCAACCTGCTGGGCTGAGTGTGCCAGTAGATTTTGTCCACCTGTTCCTTCTCCTGAGCAGCAAGCTCTGCAATCCTTGCCCCTTTAGCAGCCCTCTCACTGCTGGGAAGTCTTTCAAAGGGCCTGCCTTTTTTTGTTCCAGAGCAGCCGGTTATGGGAACCTGTTCTCCACAAGCGGCTGGAATCTCAGCCTCTGACTTTGCTTTTCAACCCCTCTGATCTGCAGAGCACCATGCAATGTGGGTCTGTGCTCCCAGAGTAGATTTCTAGGGCTGGGTATTTAGCAGTCAAGGGCTTCTGCTCCCTCCCTGCTGTGGTTCTCTTCCTCCTGGTGGTGAGCTGTGCTGGGAGGGAGTGCTCGGGTCCTGTTGGGTCATGGCTTTGTTACTTTACCCTTTTCCATGAGATGTTCTCTTTTTCCAGACGTAGACTGGCTGCTGCAATCTTATTTCTGGTCACTCTTTTAGGAATAGTTGTATTTGTTGTATTTTACTATTATATGTGGTTTGGGGATGAGATTTCTGCCTCACTTCTCATGCCACATTTTTTAGAATCCTGCACGGGTCTACTTATACGTGGGTTTTTTTTCAATAAGTATACTGAAAAAAATTTCAGAGATTTGTGACAATTTGAAAAAGCTTGCAGATGAACTGTGTAGCCTAGCAATGTTGAAGAAATTAAGAGAAAGGTATGTCATGAATGCATAAAATGTATGTAGGTAATAGTCTGTTTTATTATTTAGCACATAAAATCAACAATATAGGCTTTTAGTAGTTAAGTTTGGGGGGAGCCACAAGTTATATCTGGATTTTTGACTCCACAGGGCGTTGAGTGTCCCTAAACCCAGATTTGTTCAAGAGTCAACTGTATTTATTACTTACCCTGTCTGGCAGACTCCCCTAGATGTTTGTGTGGGCTAGCTCCTGCAACACCTTTAAATTACACCTTATCAAAGAGACCTCCCATGACCACCCTAATTCAGATTCCAAGCTCCTTCTCAACACTTTGTCTCCCTTCATTGGTTTATATTTGCCCTGAATATATGTCATTATCTGATATATTTATCTTATTGTTTGTTTGGGTCTCATGCGATGTGTCTCCAGTGCTTAGAATAGAGCCTAGTACATGGTACATGCTCACTAAGTATATGGGAACTAATGGAGTGAAGCTTCTCATTGGGTAGAGAGAAGCCTTGTAAACTCATTGAGATGCTCCTTTACGACTTCCTGTGAGGGAAGATGAATGAAGATGGGAGAAGGGGTCTCAGAATCAGTAGAAATATCTCCTCCAACCCACTCTGTTAAAATAGTTTATCCTTCCCCAAATATCTGAAACTTGTTCCAGAAAAACTTACTCCTTCATTTTAGCTAAAAATGCCACTTGATAAAATTAATTTATTTTTGGCAAGTGCTCAAAAGGGGATCTTCAGTGTTGTAAATTCCAGGAAATATGAAGACAGTGGTGGTTGTAGCTACATTTAAAGAAAATTAACAGCTTCTCAATAACAGACAAGTAAAGGTGGGCATTTGAGATGCTTTTTTCTTGGTACAGCATTTTTAAAGATGCTGTTTACTAAGGGCCCTATAAAAAATTCAAATAAATGTTCTCTCTGCCTCCCAATTTTTATAGACAAACCAAACAATCTTATAGACATGTAGGAACAGTTTGCTTTATAACAATCTAATATAAAAGTCAACTTTTTCAAAAAAGAAAAAGTAATTGTTTTTACAAAAACAATTCTTTAAGAAGCATGTTACAGAGGAAATAAAAAGCTTGGATTAAATTGCTTGTTTATGCAGTATATACATTTAATTTTCATAGACAATTTAAACATAGCAAGCTTATTGAGATGTAATTCATGTCATAAAATTAACTCTTTGAACGTGTATAGTTCAGTGGTTTTGGAATAGTCAGAATTGAATATTTTGAACCACATCCTGATTTTAGAACATTTTCATTAATCCCAAATGAAATCCCATGTCCACCAGCAGTCACTTCACATTCTCCCTTCCCCCTAGCCCCTTGCAATACTAACCTATTTTTTGTCAATGGATTTGCCTATTCTGGACATTTCATGTAAATGGAATCATAAAAGTAGCTTCTTGTGTATGGCTTCTTTCACTTAGCATAATGTTTTCAAGATCCATTCATGTTGTCATACGTGTCTATACTTCATTCCTTTTTATAACTGAATAATATCCTATTTTACAGAATATGTTATTGAATAATATTCTGTGTGTGTATTGTATACCATATTTTGTTTATCATCATCTGATTGATATTTCTGTTTACTCTTTTTTGGCTGTTAAGAATCATGCTGCTTGCATAGACAAATTCTTTAAAGGACATAAAATACCGATTAATAACTAGCCCTGGGAAGTATGAGCAGGAGACTTAATTTTTTTTGTACTGGTAACATTTTTTCAAAACCAAATGCATGTAGTATTTTTTAATTAAAACAAACAAACAAAAACAATCCAGTCATTAATAATATGGCCTTGGATAAGTAATTGTACCTCTCTGGGTTTCAGTTTTCTCCTCATAATAAGATTAGAATGGTAAAATAAATGATAAATTGGAATAATAAAATATTTGTTACAGTCTTTTTCAGTTCTCAAATTTTATGTTTATATGATAAAATAAGTGATAGCATTATAGGAATTTTTTCTTTATGAATAAAAATTATATCCCTTATAATTGCAGTGTAACTTTCCATTTATTTTCATCATAGGACCTAATGGAAGGACCTAGACCTTCCATTATTATGGCAGAAGAAGTCGGTAATTTCAAGACACCAACTAAATTATCTGAAAAAAAGAAACCTGGTAAGATAGATGCAAAACCTTTTAAAATTGCTTACGAAATGTCTTAGTACTATTGTAGTTTGATCCTTTATGTTTCATACACAGTTTTAGCTTAAGTCCTCTTTAGAATGTTGATCTTAACAAATAAGATTTATTTTATAGGCCAGGGCTTGGTCATTAGTGGGCTAGTTTTAGTCTAACAAATTTGGAGATTCTCCCTTGTGAAGAATCAATTTAACATGCACGTTGAGGAACTACTTTAACTCTACCCCCTCATACGTCATTGCTCTTATGAGGGAAAGATGTTTTCCAAGGCAGTTCAATGGACGATGAATAATCTTTTCAACAAATGAAAGCAATTGGATATCCATATGCAAATTGACCCTCAGCTCACATACAAAAATGGCTAAAATTGTAAAAGTTCTTAAAGATAACAAGCTAAACTTAATTATTCTATTAGCTTTTTTTATAGGTTGCTTACTGTTTTGTACATAGTTGGTAATGTTGTAGATGAATAAAGACAATTTTACTTTTTTTTCCCAGTCTGTATTATTTTATTTCCGTTTTCTTTACTTATGGCACTTGATCCAGTATATTTTTGAATAGTAGAGGGGTGACTGGACGTACCTGCCTTGTTTGCAGTGAAGTGTCTTGTTAGATGCAGTTTTTTCACAGATGTCCTTTATCAGTTTGAGGAATTTTCCTTTTACTCCTGGTTAGTATCATGAGTGGGTGCTGAACTTTGTCAAGTGCTTTTTCAGAATTTATTGAGTTAAAGTTCTCTTTTTTCACTTGGTTAATGTGGCAAATTACATTAACTTTCAAGTGCTAAACAAATTTTCATTCCCTAAGTAAATCCAGTTTGGTTATGATGTGTTTTACATATTGCTTGGTTCAAATGGCTAATATTTTCTGTGGTCATGAGTGATATTGGACTTTCTGGTTGTCTTTTTTTGGAATGTCTGTCTAGTTTTGGTACTAGGATATTCTGTATTCATAAAGATGTTCAGTGTTTTTTTCTCTTCAAGAGTATATGTAGAATTGATAATATTTCTTCCATAACTGGTTGAATTCCGCAGTAAAGCCATGTGGGCTGGGCCTGGAGTTTTCTTAGTAGGCATATGTTAACTGGGCTATTCAAGTTACATATTTCTTATTGTGTAAGCTTTGTTAGTGTTTTTAAAGGACTTTATCCCTTCTCCATGTTAAATTCATTGGCATAAAGTTATTCATGATATACTGTTATTACCCTTCTAATGTCAGTAGGATCTGTGGTGATAGCTCCTTCATTTCTGATACTGATATTTTGTATTTTCTTTCTTCCGTGATCAGACTAATCTGAGGTTTGTCTATTTCATTGAATGTTTCATACTCTTGAAAAATAATATTTTCTGCTGTTTTTGGGTGCAGTGTTCCATAAATGTCAGTTAGGTCAAATAGGTTGACTTGTTTTATTCAGGTTGTCCATAGCCATATTAATTTTCTTTTTACTTATTCTATTACTGAGAGAGAAGTGACTCCCAACTATAATTCTTGGTTTGTCTATTTTTTTCTTTCAGTTGTTGCTTTATGTATTTTGAAGCTTGTTATGAGATACAGACACATTTAAGATGGCTATTCTTTTTGATGAATTTACCCCTTCACTCTTATGAAATATCCTTTGTCAGTGTTGTACTCACTGTTCAAAGTCTTATGTGATATTAACAGAACTCCAGTTTTATTTTTCTTAGTGTTTGAATAGTATATGTTTTCTAGCCTTTTACTTTTAACCCGTTTGTGTTTTTATTTAAAGTGAGTTTATTATAGACAGCATGTAGTTTTATCTTGTTTTGTTTTTACCCCTTTGGACAACTTCTACCTTTAATTGGACTGTTTGGCCATTAGCCACATGTGGCAATTTAAATTTAGGTTCCTATGAATTAAAATGAAATAAAATTACAAATTTAGTTCCTCAGTTGTACAAGCCACATTTCAAGTGCTCAGTAACCACGTATGGCTGGTGCTTACTGTGCTGGACCGTACAGACATAGAACATTTCCATCATGACGGAAAGTTCTGTTGGACAACACCGTTCAGACCATTTACACTTAACGTAGTTCTCAGTGGTTGGATTAAATCCATTTTGCTCTTGGCCTGTAGCTCACTGATGATTATTTTTTCTACTCTTTATGTGCTTTATTTCTGGTAGTTTTTGTTGCTTTGTCTTAAAATCTAGCTTTTCTTCTGCTCTGTGATCATGTTTTTCTTATGCATTGTATTTTACATTTCTTGAAGTCCATTAGGATCTTTTTTACATCTTTTTCTTTCCTTGTTATATTCACATTTCCTTTGTATTATTGAGTATATTTTAAAAATTTATGTCTTAAGGTTCTTGTCTGCTAATCTATATCACTGTCACTTTATGCTTTGTTTCTATTGGTTTATTTTTCTGCTGTTCTAGGTCATCTTTTTTGCTTCTTTTATGTCTGGTAACTTTTTATTGGCTGCTGGACATTTTACATTGTTGAGTGCTGGATTTTGTTATTGCTTTGGAGGGTGTGTGATCTTGTTATGTCACAGTTAAGTCACCTGACCATTAATTGAAGTTTGCTTTTAAGCTTTGTTCTAAGCTTTTTCCTTGGACTAAAATTTAACTGTACTACTCAGCTGTGACCCTGACCCTTTATAGAGAGAACTTTACTGAATACCTTATATGTTACAGGGTTACTACACTCTGGCTGATTGTACGGGAACTATTCCTAGACCTGTGTTATCTTTACACAGGTAACTGTTTAGCCTACTGCTTGTGTTTGGTGCTTTCTCTGACTTTGGAGAGTTCTATGTACTTAAGAATTTAGCCGAACCCTCAAAGGGAGCTCTCCAGGCCCCCAGGGCTTTCTTGCTTTGTGGCTCCCTCTGTGCTCCAGATTCCTAGCTACTTATGTCTCCTTGATCTGTGATTTCTGTTTCCTCAATTTGACATGACCTCTGGGCTGTGCTTCTCTGAAACAGCCGTTGAGCATTAAGTAACAGCAATGACAGAGCTCATATCATTTGTCAGAGTTCACGACCCTGCTCTGCCTATTGTCAGGTATCTGGAAACCATTATATGTCGTCAAGTTTTCTAGTTGCTTATGGTGAGGTGGCACTTCTGGAAGCAGTTAATTTTTTTCATGAGCAATGTTGGACTTTTCTATCTCTTTTAATGACTGTATGATGCTCTATAATATAGATATACTGTGATTATGACTGTAATGATGTTTACTTAGGTTTTTTTGTTTGTTTTTGCAGCCACAAAAGCAAATCCCAGTATTCAAACGTGTGCATGCATGTCCATGTGTGATGTCTTTGGGCACCTGCTATAGCACAGTCATTGGCACACTTTTTGTAAATGGCAGATAGTAAATAATTTAGGCTTTATGGGCCACAAAGGGACTTTGTTGCACATTCTTCTCTATTTTTTTAATCATTTTAAAATGTAAAAAACATTCTTAGCTTGTGGGCCAGGTGAAAACAGGCCGTTTGCTGATCCCTGCTTCAGTGATATTGTAAGACAGAGCTCTAAAAGTAGACTTGCTCTAAGGGTACCCTTTTAAGATCAGGGTAGCTAGTTTCACATTGCTCTCCAAAGACTGTGCCATTAATACTCTTAACAACGGAGTATTGTGTAGCTTGCATTTGTGGAGGTTTTTTTCAAATACTGATTTTATTTTTTGTTTTTCTGACATTTAGCATTATGTTCAAATCCATGTATAAATATTCCTGCCTCTCCATTCATGCAGAAGCTTGGCTTTGGTACTGGGGTCAGTGTCTACCTTATGAAAAGGTGAGTATAAGATTTCAGATTAACCTTTTTCCATGGAACCATAGTTTTCCTGTACTTGGAGACAACAATGAATATGAAAATTCAGATATTCAGATTCGGGGTATGTTCCTGATCCAGCCTGACTGACCACTGTATTCCAACTTGCCAGAGCTCTGTCTCGTATGCTTTTCTTGTAGCTTTCTCCTGGTGGATTATTGGAGGAGTAATTCACCTTACAGCTTTTCCTTGATTTGTGTGGGAAAGGAACAGGACACAGGAAAGGGGCTTCTGTGTACTAAGCAGGATTCCCAATAAAACCTCAAAGAGGCTACCAGTGTTAAGGGATTTGACTGCTAATCTCATCTATCTGGAGAGTTCTGAAGATAATCTCTTCTAAAGAAGTTAAAGGTTTTATTTATATCATTTTTGTTCAGTAAGAAGGGTAAATATAGGATTTTAAAGGAAAACTGTGTTAAAAGAAAAATGAAATACTAGAATTGGTGCTAATAGCTAATATAGACGCCAAACACATTTGTTTAAAAAGTTGTTTTACTCATTACTCTGAATTTAGCTTCATGGTTTCTAAGAGGCAGACAACTAAGTCATTATGTATTCCTTAATGCACTCTTCAGGAAGTCCAGCCCAGCGTAGTGTTAGCTTCATCTAGGTTTATATTGTCTCCAAATAGAAATGCTTTCTTTAATAAAAACTGCTGAATTGAGAATAGCATAGCAAGTGTATAGAACTAGGTGTTCATGAGCATTTTTGCAGTTTAAACACCCCCTTTGTGTGTTTTTGTGCTTTTTGTTTTGTGGACATTTGTTTTATATGGTCTAAAAATTCTTGTCTAAGTTACTTTGAAAGAAAAAATTCTCATGTGTTCATGGCTAGTTTCACTTTTTTTTCCCTTGTAAAAAACATGTTTTTAAATATAAAGTGTGTCATTGGCAAAGTCATAGAGAATGTGACTTAATTAGAAAGCTTCATGTGGCTGATACTGAAAACAGCAGGTCCTGCCTGACCCTACCCCTCCGCATAGTGTGGCCCTGGCAGTCGGCATTTCCCTTGACTGGTACTCTGGAGAGTTCCTGTTTTCTCCAGTGAATTGGATCCTGTTTTTCTGTATCTTATGTTGTATTGTTTCTTGTTTTACATCTTGTTTTGTTTGAGGACATCTGGTAGCTCCCCATGAAAAGACGCACAGGAGATACATTTTTAAGAATTTGCATTTCTGAACATGTTTTCATTTTACCCTCATCCTTGAATGGCCCTTTTTATTTTCTAGGTTGGTATTCTCGTTTGGAAATAATTTTCCTCCTGAATTTGAGGACATTGTTCCATTGTCCATTAACTTGCAGTGTTGCTTGTGAGAATTCTGAAGTCTTTCTTTTTGTGTAATCTGTTTTATGTTTTCTGTCCCTCTCACTGTCCTGGAACCATGTATGATCTTCTGTTTGTCACCAGTATTCTTCACTTTCACAATGACAGGCATGGGTGTGGGCCTCTTGGAATCTGAAAATTCCTGTTATTAAATTTGGGGGAATTAATTTTTTTACATTGTTTTGTTGATAGTTTTCACCCCTGTTTTTCTGTCCTTTATCTGGAACTCCTATTATTTGGATGTTGAACTTACTGGGCAGATCTCTAATCCACCTTTTTTGTTGTTGTTGTTAAATTTTCTGGGAGATACCACAACTTCATCTTCTGATACTTCTGTCGAGTTTTTTATTTTTGTCTATATTGTTTTTATTAATTATATGAAAATTTTCCTTTGGAAATGATGTTCTAATTTACCTGAAGAAAACAAGATCCCTGATTCAAAAAGACATATGCACCCCTATGTTTATCACAGCACTATTTACAACAGCCAAGATATGGAAGCAACCTAAGTGTCCATCAGTAGATGAATGGATAAAGATGTGTGTATGTAGAATGTACATATACACAATGGAATGTTATTCAGCCATAAGAAGAAAACAAAGCCTACCATTTGCAACAACATGGGTGGAGCTAGAGGGTATTATGCTCAGTGAAGTAAGCCAGGTGGAGAAAGACAAATACCAAATGATTTCCCTCATCTGTGGAGTATAACTAAAGGAATGAAATAGCAGCAGACTCACAGACTCCAAGAAGGGACTTGCAGTTACCCAAGGGAAGGGGTAGGGAGGGAGAAGGGGTTAAAGGGCAGTATGATTAGCACACATAATGTAGGTGGATCACAGGGAAGGCAGTACGGCACGGTGAAGACAAGTAGTGACTCTGTAGCATCTTACTACGCGGATGGGCAGTGACTGCAATGGGATGGAGGGGGGCTTGATATTGTGGGTGAATGTTGGAACTGCAGTACTGCTCATGTGACCTTCATAAGATTGTATATCAATGACACCTTAATAAAGAATAAAAATAATGAAAAATGACATCCTAAGTCTTTGGGGGTGGTAGAAATGTTCTATATTTTGATCTGGATGTTGATTACATAGGTATACATGCACATCTGAAAACCCGCTGAGCATTTAGTATGCATGTGGTCATGAATCACTCTGCTCCTGTATGGCTCACAGGTTCTCAGTTACGCCAGTAAACCTGAGGCTAAAGGCCTCTGCTGTAGCGCCTTCCAAAGCCAGTCTCCTGTATTCAGAACCTGGGGGACGGGATGGGCCGCTGCCTACTGATACAGAATCCGGGAAGGTAACTAGGAATCCACCTGCTTTCTAAATAACTTTCAAGAAGTTCTTCGGAACTGTTAAGTCAGTTACTTTCATCTGCTTTCCAAGCTTCCAGAGTTTGTTACTATCTCCTCTTCATTATTTTCATCCTTCTTGCTGGGTGTATATCTTAAAATATCCATTTGCTTTTATTCTAAGGGGCTTGGGTGGGATCAAAATTATATGTGTATATATGTTTTAAGGGATCAAAATTATATGTATATATTTGTTGGTGAAGAATCGTCTGTTATTCTTATGCTCATGAGGTAATACAAGGCTACCATTTTAATCCAGAGGTCTCTATTTCTTAATGTTAAATCAAGTTTGCATTCCTAGTTCAGTGTAGTACTGATATATTATTATTTTTTTAATAAACTGGATTCATTTGCTATTTGTTTAGAATATTTGATCTGTATATAAGTGAAATTGGCTTGTGATTTTTTTCTGTTGTTCCTGTTTGATTTTTTTATAAAGATTAAACTAGACTTATTGATCCTTTCTCTATTTCCTGAAACAGTTTGTGCAAGATTGAATGATAGGTTCCTTCAAAGTTTAATAAACACCTGTAAAATTATCTAGGCTTTGTATTTCTTTTGGGAAGATTTTAAACTCTTGATTACAATTCTTCTTTCACCAGTTTTCTTAGACTTGTCTAAGATTTGTCCATTTTGCCTTTTAGATTTATTGGCATAAAAGTGTTAGATTTGCTTATACTTCTTATTTCTCCTGAACCTGTAGGTATGTCCCATTTTTTTTTTGCAGTATTATTTGTGCTTCCTCTTACTATTTTTCTTGTGCAATCTCATCAGAAATTTGCCTATTTTATTACTCTTTTCAGCAAACCAACTTCTAGCTTGGCGAAGTATTTTCAGATTTCAAAAATATGTTCTTGTCATTTTGTAGATTAGGATATGCTATGGAAAAGGTGAAGATGGACTTGTTCACTGTATTATAAACATTCAAGAACTATGGAGTGCCCCTTGAACCTTGAAAAATATATTTTTCATAATAAAATGGTATGGAAGTGGTTATCCCCAAATATTGTTGTGTAAAACTGAAGGAGATTTAAGAATAGTGTATATACACTTATGGATGATGGATGTATATGAGTTGAGAAATCTAATAACTCTTTGAATACATGTCTTTTGATTTCAAGAAAAGGTCCTGCAACTATAGAGTCATGCTGAGGTAGTACAAAACTCAATGGCTTCTTGGTTCAGTGTGTTGTTTTGTGTTCTTCTGGGTAAACTTTTTATCTTTAACTGTTGAGACTCTTTCATTGGCTCTTGTGCTTGTGTGCTGTGTACACTTCACCCGTCAGGCTTCTCTCCTCATGCATAACTGCCTGTGGTGCCAGGGAAACCGTTCCCTGACTGTGTCACCTGTTTATTTAGAACTCAAAACATTCACACCTCAGATATTCTTAAAAATAGCTGAATCTTTCCTCAAAATACACACTTTAGTTCTCATTTGTGTGTTTATTGTCTCGTTAAAGGCATGTCTTTGAATATATGGTAAAAGGTGTAAGAAGTACTGGTTAGTGCAGAGGAGAGGGGTTTGTTGGTAAAGAACAGTCTGTTATTATTTGCACGATTACATATGGGCATCTTCTTTAAGTTTCTTAGACATTAGTGTTTATTAACATTCCATAACTCATCTCTGGTACATATAGCTAAATGTTTGATAAATAGTTGGTGGTCTGACATGGTCAAATGGAAAAATTAGAAAATAATATGGTAATTTTAAAGTTTAAAATTTATAACATTCTGTATTTTTCCTTCTAGTTCTCTTTTTAACCCTTCCTTTCCAGCAATGGATAGCAGACATCTCTTGTGATCAGTAGATATATCGGTATATCTCCCAATTAAAAAGGACATGTAGTAGAGGTGTTGATCGTCTAAAATATTTTAAATATTCTTTTAAAAAGCAACAAATTACTATCAAGTCCTTTTCAAAATTTGGAAGTTCTTGTTAGTCTTTTGAAATGTATTATGGTTATTATCTTTCTATACATGTTTTGGTTAATTATTTTTTAAGATCTCCAAGAGGTTTGTCTCATTCTCCTTGGGCTGTGAAGAAGATTAATCTGAGATGTGATGATCATTATCAAAGTATATATCAAAAGCGACTAACCAGTGAAGCTAAGATTTTGAAAGACCTTCATCATCCGAACATCGTAGGTAGGTTTAAACTATTTGGTAACAATGTCTAGTGTAATATTGTGATTATCCAGTAACAGCTCATATAATCTCTTAACTGGTTTCACTAATAAAAATGAAGATGGTGTTGTAATTTGGCAGGAATCAAATTAATGTGAACATTCTAAATTAAAAATTAGTATATAATATTTTTAGGTGCCTAAGTATACGTTTAAAATTTCATGGGTTTAGATATAGTCACTATGGTGTTCTTCATTATAGATTAAAATTTCATGGGACTATAGTTCATTATGGTGCTGAATTCACTATGGAGAATTCAGAAATATAAAATGATCTTCATTTATGTAATTTCCTGTGGGAGTCCAGCTCCTGCCCGAAGGTGCAGGACGGAGTCGGCGTATGGAGAGAGAGGACACGGAGTCAGATGGAGGTGGTCTCTCGACAAAGTGCCGATGACAGCTTTATTTATACCATTTTGCACAAGGATATGATTATTTTTTATTATTCTGACGATTAATTAGTATAGGCAGTAGGTTAATAAGTATAGGCAAGCTTTTTTTTTTTTTCTTTTCCTTTCTAATCTATTCATGGTTGGTCAAGCGTTAGACAGGTGATTGTTTTTCTGTTCCTTGACTGAAACTTTTCCTATCAACATGGACTCTATTGTGTTTTATGTTTCTATGCAACGCAGTTTCTGAGTAGGAGCATGCAGTATGTAGCAGTGACTATGGAGTCGATTAGCTCAGGGTGAAATACAGGTCACCTAGTGCCACAGTTAGCTAGGATTCTTTCCCACAAAAATATTCTTAGAGGCTTTAATAAATTTATAATCAATCTAAAATCATAAACTCATATCTTCATTTTATACCCCTTTATAGGGCATAGTAGGCAGCGAACTAAATTTCCCCTTCTTATCTACATCTCTCTTTCTCCTGTGTGGATACCAAAATCTCCCTGACATGTGCTACACAGCTCTCCGTGACTCCGCTACTGCAGGGACTAAACAAGTTCTTACATGGTGAACAACGCAAGAGCATTCATACCATAGAAACTGCTTCTGTTTTAACTACAAACCTTAAACTGTAAACAGTCACGTCAAATATAATGTATGATTATTCATTTGATTTTTATACTTTATATGTGAATCTAATAAAATGTTAATGTAGTAAGTAAATGCAAGATATAGATAGAAAGCATGATTTAGAACTGTAAGAAGGCAGGTGTAGATGATCAGGTTTGTGCCTACAGACCAGGTCTTAATCCAAGCTGAACAAGGGCATCAAAACATCCACAGGTGCAGAAGATTTCTCTCAAAACTGCGGGGGTGAGGTTCTAAGCCTCACCTCTGTTGGCCCCCTTTTTCTCACCTGATGGCCCCCCTGCGACTGTGCCTGTCTTAGGTTGTTCCTCCCTTAACCAGCCATCTTCCGGGGCCATACAGGGAGATGTAAAGCTGGTAAGTGAGAGAGAAGTAATATTCTTTGAAAAGGTTAGTTTTTCACTTCTTTGCAGATTTATGCTCCATGGCTTCTATGCCCAGCACTTGTTTTGAGGTATCTTTACTTCCTGGAAAATTATGGTACTTGGTAATTTCACCTATGAGGCACAAATTCTAGTAAAGGGCCATAATTAGGTAAGAAGAAAAACGAACTATGCAAGTAGTAGAGGGAAGAAAACATGAGATGATTAATTAAGTGTCAACAGGGTTATTCTATTCAATATTTTCTCATGACTCTATTTCTATAAAACTTTCCATCACTAGTTTCACTAGCATTGTAAACAAGGGGGGCATTCTCAGTGGAAATGGGGTGGTCAATGTTTGACTAACAGCAGGATTTGGTACTCTATGCTAAGATCGCCATTTGGCCCCTGCGTGTTCTATTCTTCAGGAGCACTGTCCTGAAAAGCTTTTGGGAAGTTTATGTTCTCATCTTTTCCGTGCTGCTTAGCAAAGGTTAGCTTAGTCTTTGGCAACAATGCAAGTAAAAACAAAGCCAATAGTATAATGGAAAATAACAAAATCAAGGTGGGTAATAGAGGGAGCCAGCTGCGAAGGCCCCTGATTTGTGGGGTTCTTCCTCCAGCCTGAGCTTTGCTACACAGCTTGAGTAGCATGGCTCCCGGCAATTTCCTTATTTTCATTTTTAATATAAGTAGGGCTGGGAAAACCATTATATTTAGGAGGGCTTAGAGTATTGAAAATTATTTTAATTTGGGATACTATTGGCAAACACTGAAGACATTTTAAATTAAGTCTAATGAATTAGTTACAAATAAGAGCTGTTTCATCGTACGTTTGTCAGGGTTAGTCCAGATCCATTTTCAGTCACATTACTATAACTTAAATACTGTTGTTCTTCCCTGTTCCTTATGTCGTGTTTTCTTTAAGGCTATCGTGCTTTCACTGAAGCCACTGATGGTAGTCTGTGCCTTGCTATGGAATATGGAGGTGAAAAGTCTCTAAATGACTTAATAGAAGAACAATATAAAAAGAGCCAAGATCCTTTTCCAGCAGCCATCATTTTTAAAGTTGCTTTGAATATGGCAAGAGGGTTAAAGGTAAATATGCCATTTTATTGTAAATGACTTTTGTGGAATCTGAAAAAACTAAATACTTCATAGTATACCTAATTCTAGGGTGGAATCTTTTTTTTCCCCAGAAGGAGTTGCCTTTTGTGTTAAAGTCTTTATAGAATTTGTCATGTTGTAGAATGCACTGTTTCCTTATTTTGATTAGCAAAGTGTGGTTTGAGGCCTTCACATAGCCTGAAATAACTCAAGTAGATAGTTTTGCATATAGAGATCATTTGTTAGATTTACTTAAAAGGATTAATAAAATTTAACACCAAAATTCAGTGAGTATTTTTGGGGGTGCAGCCTAACTGTTGATGTAAGCAAGGTGCTCACAGATTGTTTTGTGGGATGTTAAGTTTTGGACATGATGAATGATCATCTATAGGTCAAATGAAAAAAGTTCCCTTGATGTTATGCAAGTGAATTGTTGTGCCTTTGGACAGACACAATGTAAGAAATAAAAAGAATTCTGTACCCTAAATAGCCTAAACTGAAATAAGATGACTCCGGAAAACTTGGATGACTGAAAAGTGAATCACATAATGATACTGCAAGTATTATCAAAGCTGCAAGTTTAGAGTTCAAATAAAATGTATTCATGAGATGTGAAACTAGAGAAAAGTAGTATTTCTAAATACATATTTTAGTATGTGTATAGATAAACCTGATTTTAAATGGAGATGATAAACTAAATTAATAATTTGAATTATTTCATAAATAATGGTTTAAATGTATCTGTATAATGGAATTCAGAAATTTATTATGAATATATTTGAGCATATTCAATTTATTACTGGTAACATTTATATTAAGCACAGTTGAAGTGTTCTAAGGTATATACCAAGAATTGTCTCTGCAGTATTTTCATAACATTTTTGACTAGGGATGAGTACCACTATACTTGTCAATTCTAAGAAAGGGTTAATGTGTAAAACAAAATGTAAATTGTGCCTTAGTTTACATTTCTACTTCTCCTTCTGCCTGTGAATTTCATGTAGCCCTGTCATCTGTCATTCTGCAGTATCTCAACAATTTGTCAGGGAAGTATGCCTCATTGTGAAGATTCTGAAATTATTCCTAAAAATTACTAGTTTCAAGTAAAATTGTCAACCATTTTGACATCTGCAAGATATAAAAGTGTATGAGATGGGTTTAGAAATAAAAAGGTTAGTTTATCTTTAAATAGACATCAATTTCCAAAGCATCTTTCAGGTTGCTAGTCAGTGTGGCAGACTGAGATAACATGGGATGTTCTGTTTTCTAGCTGCAAGTAATTTGAAGTGATGGACAGATACAAACCTGTAGTTTAGGAAGGGAATTCAAGTGGTTATTTTTGTTTGAAGGTTGTCATTTTTTAATTTATATTTTTGCTCAGATATGTTAAATTTTCCGCTATTTTAGTATCTGCACCAAGAAAAGAAACTGCTTCATGGAGACATAAAATCTTCCAATGTTGTAATTAAAGGTGACTTTGAAACAATTAAAATCTGTGATGTAGGAGTCTCTCTACCATTGGATGAAAATATGACTGGTAAGTAGTAGTCTAATTTAAAACATTTTATTTTTATACAATTTTTAAGTTTCTAATTTTTATATATTTAAATAGGTAATTCACATTCCTCAGAAATCAAAAACTATTTATGAAAAGTGTACAATAAAAATCCCTCCTTTCTCTTGTCAAATAAGCAATAGAAATTATTGGTTTCTTATCAGTAAATATTTTCACTGAATTGAACATTGGAAACTATTTCTAACCTGGTTTGGGATTTTTAAGTGGTAAAAGATCTGGGAATAGAAAATAAAATTTTAATAAGGCTTATTATTTAATTTTTTAAAAAATGTTGATATATAATATGTTGGTTTTAGGTAAAATTTTAATAAGATTTATAAAGAATTAATTTAACATCATCACACCTGGCAAGATTTGGGAAACTGATAGAAGAAACTGGAGCGGAAGTAGGAAAGAGTAGAGTTAATGAAGGCCAGTTTTCTGCCTTTTGACCCTTGGCCCCCCCAACTCATTCTTCTCTTTTAAATACCATTGATTCTCTTCTCAGAGAATTTAAGATATGTCTGTGGCAAGAACTAAGTGTCAGCCTCAAAGAGAAAGTCTCTATTTTCACCATATTATTTAATAAATAATATTTAATTTGCCTCTTTATATGAATATAAGGGAAGGTTAATGAATGTGGTTTAGAGCTTATATACACCTTAATTCCTGCTGACATAAAAGTCTACAAATCAAATTGAAGGAAAAAGCCAAGTTGAATAAAGTGACTGTCACTAAGAAAGACAGAACTGTCATGAACCTGTAGGCTAAACAACTGCAGTAAAGTTGAAACTTAAGGAAATAAATGGAGAAATTATGTTTTATACCATAATTTTTAAAATCTTCAATGGATCAAATAGACAAAACTAAGATGTAGAAGATCTGAGCAAATAATACGGCCAATCTCTATGCATTAGAAGATTTATTAAGATTGACCACATATTAGGTTACAAAAGAAAACTTCAGATTACAAAAAAAAGAAATAGTTGAATGGTTGATATTCATTATTCTCAGTGCTGTAAATCCAGAAATTAGTAGCACAATTGGAAACAAAAATCCCCAAATTGTTTAGAAATCTAACATACTTGTAAATAATTCTTGGCTAAAAGAAGAAAACAGATTTCAGTTAAACAATATTCAGAAAATAATGAGACTATAATAACAAACCAAAACCTATTTGATAAGGTGAAAACTACTCATAGGAAAACATTTTCATTATTTAATGTTTATGAAATTAAGTTGAGTATTCAAGGAAAGGAAAGGAAGCCCTTAAAAAAGCAGAAAGCAACAGCAAATGAATCAGAAAATCCATGAATTCTACACTATCCCAACTTGACGTATTTTTTTTTTAGAACGTGTCAAAGTGAATGCAGTTCTTACGAACCCTAGGTTTAAATATAGACAGGAAAATTCTATGAAGGAATAATGAGTAGGAATTTTCCTGACCAAATGCTAAGAAGTATTATAAAGCTATAGTAATTAAAGCAGGAATACTTGATGACTCATGAATATTTTGACTCATGTCAAAATAGGTAGAAAAATAGTCAAGAAATAGTTCCCAAATATATAGAATTTGTTATATGATAAAGGTGACATTTTCATATTAGAAAGATATAGTTGAATGAATAAATGATGATGTCTAGACATTTTTTAAAAAAGAGCTGTTTTCTATTCTCTTACTCCTTGTAGACTGAAAGTTGAAAAAAAAAAAGTAGTAGAAAGAATTGTATTTGAATATTTCCTTAATGTTGGGCTTAAGAAGGACACCAGAGTTAGAAACCATTTCAGTAAAAGCCATGACTACTAAAAAATTCTTTGAAAAGTCTCTATATGCCAGTATGAGCAGCAGTATAGGTTAACATGAACTCTCAAACACTAAGTAGAAGTTGAAATTGGCATATCATTCAGGTAAGGTAAGTTTTGCTGTGGTAACATAGACCCTCAAAATTCTCAGTAGCTCAAAGCACCACGGCTGACACAAGCTACACGTCCCTTAGGGCTGTGTTCCGTGCCATTCCCACTTTAGACCTGCAGTGCTGGGACATCCACCGTGGAGTACTGCCACCATTGCATGGAAGGTGAAAAAGCTCTGGAGGGATGCTGTCCACTGCAGTAGCCATTAGCTACATACAGCTATTTAAATTAATGAATATTTAAAAGTTTTAAATCATTTCCTCAGCCATCTGAGCCACATTTCAGATGCTCAGTAGCTACATGAGATTAGTGGCTACCGTATTAGACCATGCAGATGTAGAACATTTTTATCACAGAGAGTTCTATTAGATAGTGGCTGCTCTACAGAGACTTACACTAACAATTAAATGCCCCAGCTCAGAAATGACACAGGTCAGTTCTCCCACAGCCGACTGACCAGAGCTAATCATATGGTTCCATGCAGCCAATGACAGGCCAGAATGTGCAGCCGTGTGTGTGTGTCCAGGTGACAAGCACGTACTTGCTGGATAGCCCTGGTAACGTCCACAGTGGTATGGCCTCTTCAGAGGGCAGTTTGGAATCAAATATTCTTTTAAAAAACAAAACGCATAAAATGTTTGTGTGCATCAATCCTGTAATTCCATTCTGAAGAACACATTCCAAAGAAATAATTGGGCAGTGCAGGCATTTTTTACAATAGCCTGGTAATATTAATATGCTCATTTCTACAAAACCTCACATTCTGCAAAAGTCAAAACATAGACCTAGGTTTATAGAAGAGAGAGATTTGGGACAGAAGAATCAAACCTATGCAACTTTAAAAACAAAGTAATGATGAAAAAGTGACAATTCTAATAAAAGTACTACCATGTTACATGTTCACTGGCACCCAGCATCAGTCATCCTGTGTGGCCGTAAACCCTGGGGTTGTGCTGCTGTGAGGTCTTTATGAGGGCATTTATTTTCAGTAGATAGCTTTTCATTAACTTAAAAGTTTGATCTGGCTTTCTCAACAAAAAGTACCCTTGTAAGCGTGGGAGACCTGTCTTGGCATTTCCTTTACCTGCACTTAGCTTCACCAGATAGTTTAATGGTTCTGTCGGCAGAGCGGTTCTAAAACTACTAAATCAGCTGTGCAGGGCATCTGCGGGCTAAGGATGTTTGTGAGGAAGTTTATTCCTGATCACTTCAGAAATAAGAATGTACTGGAAAAAGATCACATAATTCATCTTTTTTTGCTAATTTGTGTTGCAGAAATACATGTAGTAGAACAGATTATGCAAAATCATATGAGAATGTCCATCAATAAGGGATGATTTAATTTGTACCACTACACAACAGAATACCATATAGTCATTAAAATTATATAGCTATATTTGTAGGCATGAAAATATATCCAAATATATTAAGCGAGATGAATGCATTATAAAATAGCACTTAAAATATGTATTTACATGTACATTGAGAAAAGTTTGAAAAAATACATCTACAATCTTTAAAAATTATTTTTAAGTTTTGTGTTTTAATAGGTAATATATTCACATGTTTAATAATTATAATATACATAGGGTGTTCTGTGAAAAATCCAAATCTTAACAGTGGTTATCTCTAGATTGAGTAGTTTATTTAGCATGTTTTTAATCAGTATAGTTAGGCTCTGTGCCAGGCACTGCAAATACAGAGAAAGATGGGACAGACACAGACCTTACCTTTTAGGGCTCATATCTAGGATGGAAAGCAGCTCTTGAATATCTGACATTAAAGTACAATGACAGTTATAACAAGGGAATGTGTAGACATGACAGTGCCACCTGACCAGCCGAGATGTTGAGAAAGGCCTACTTAAATAAACAGTGCTTCAGCTGAAGACCCTGTGTCATCACTTTTCAATCTGACAGTGTCCCTGAGAACTGAATGATATAATGTCTGCTTACTCTTTTGAAAATAGTAAAGGGCAATAAAATAGTTTGTTTTGACAAAAAGGAATGGCTGAACTGTTAATCTATGATCTTATCAAACTAGTCAGAACAATCCATCTTCACGAGGAAGCCAACCTGATTGGTGACATGTGGGAGAACCACTTGCATTATGTTTAAATTCTAATCAGACCTGGAGAAATGTACGCAGACATACAGGATATGCACTTGTGGTTGGCTGGAGTCTCCAGTCGGAGCTGATACATTAGGCCCAAAGTTCTAGAAAGCTACTATTTAGTCTGGCAGACCCCTATAGGAATCCGACCCACTTAAAATGGAGTATGAATCCTTGCTCAGCACCGGAGTCACTGCCCATGTGGACCTGTCTGTAGACTCGTACTCGTGCATTCCATTAAGTGCCCCTCAAATGTAAGGTGGTGGGAGGGAGAGCCTTCAAGGAGCGCATACTGGCCTGGCCCGCCTTCCGAGCCTTACCACCCTAAAGCTGATTAAGTGGAAAGGCTGTCACAGAGACGTCTTCCATGCGTGCCGCTGGCTACTGCCCTAGTCTGGCATCCTCAGATGAGCCTGTGCACCCCCCAAAGGGTGAACAGGCACGTGCCTGCTTGTTCCTCCGTCTTCACCCCCCTGCCTCCACCCTTCTCATTTCTCCTTCTTGGTCCTCTTTTGTTCTTCCAACACTAGTTTCCTTAGTTGCCTTTTCTTGTAAATTTCTTGAGCCCCTCAAGGCAGCACTTTCCTTTGATTCCAAAGAGAAGCTCTTGTTGAACAGCCTTCCTGTTGTTTTGCTATTGTTTGAAAGTGAATTAAATTCAGTTTGCTTTCACTTTAACCCAGTTTATGAAGAAAGGGAGATTATAGCAATCAAATACTGAAAAATTCTCATTTTTAATAGAATATACCCTAACACTCCCTAGTGCATGTTTTGTAAGAGCTTGAGTTTTGTCCTATTCATAGCAGAACTACAGGTTTTAAATTTGAAAAGGAAAATTTATAAAATGATTGAAGAAATGATAGAGTACCTTTCTTCACCACCATGGAATTAACTTAGAAACCAGGAACAAGATAACTAGGAGACCCCCCAGGTACTTGGGAATTCAACAATGAAAGTTCAAATAACCTGTGCATCAAAGAAAATGACAAGGGAAGTTACATATGTATTTAACATTTCAAAATGTATGACATACGGCTGAAGCAGAGCTTGGAGGGAAATTTGTAGCTGTGTGCATGATTATATTAGAAAAGAGTCTAAATCAATAACCTATGTTACATTTTAAGCTAGAAACAAGTACAAAGCAGATCCAAAATAAGTCGAAGATATGAGCGGAAATCAGTGAAATAAATAACACTAGAAAATATTAATAAAACCAAAAGCTTGTTCTTCAAAAGTTAATGAAATTGACAAATGCTTAGCTTGGTTGATCACGAACAGAAGACAAATCGCTGACATAAGGAGTGAAAAAGAGGTTATCACTAGATCCTGCACACATTTAAAGATTAATAAACTATCATAAACAGCTCTGTTTACAAATTTGATGACTTAGATGGACAATTTTTTTGAGAAATACAATTTACCAAAATTGATACAGAAAGAATTAGGAGACCCAGATAGCCCTCCACCTATTAAAGAAACATTTTCCCAAAGAAAACCCGAGACCCAGATATTTTCAGTTTTCAATCAAACATCTAAGGAAAAAATGATACTAATTTTAAACAGAATTTTCAGAAAATATTGAGTAGGGACCACTGCCTAATTTGTTTTGATGCCAGCATAACTGATATCAAAACCTGACAAATACATCATGGAAAAAGAAAACAGACCAGTGTCCCTCACAAAGATACAAAAATCCTTAGCAAAATATTAGCAAATTGAATCTAACAGTATATAAGGATAGTACATCTGATCAAATAGGGTTTATTCCAGGAAAGTTACAGTTGACACTTAACAACAGGTTTGAACCGTGCAGCTCCACTCATATACAGATCTTTTTCAGTAAATATATTGGAAGATTTTTTTGGAGATTTGTAACTTGAAAAACATGTTTATTACTTTATTGTAAGAATACAGTATATAATAATTATACAAAATAGGTGTGTTAACCAAACTGTTTATGTTATTGGAAAGGCTTCCAGTCAACAAAAGCTATTAGTAGTTAACGTTTTTGGGGAGTCAGAAATTACACGTGGATTTTCAACTTCACAGGGATTGACATTCCTGACCCATGCTTTAAGGGTTAACTCTATGTTAATGCTCAAAGTCAACAAAATTCATATTAACAAATTTGGAAACTACATAGTCATCTCAGGTACAGAAAAAGCATTTGGCAAAATCCAACTTCCATTCATGATAAAAACTCTTGCTAACTAGACGTAGAAGGGAACTTTGGCCTCAGAAGGTGTGTATATACAGAAGAATCTACAGGCAACATCATACTTAAGAGAATAAGGCCAGCAAGGGGACAAAGACATCAGGGTTGGAAAGGAAATTAAATTGGTCGTTTTTACAGTTGATACGATTGTTTAGGTAGAATAGCCAAAGAATCTAGAGAACACCTTTCAGCTATTGTGTTTCTATGTAATAGAAATAAATAGCTAGAAAGTGAAAAATTTTAAAATTCCATTTACAAGTACGAAAAGCATGAAATACTTAAGAATAAATATAACAAAAAAAGTCTCATCTCTATAAACACTATAAAACATCACTGAGAAATAAGATGTAAGTAAATGGAAAGATCATGATTGTGGATTGGCAGATTTGATACTGTTAAAATGTAATTCTTCCCAAATTGATCTGTAGAGATTCAGTCCAATCCCAGTCATTCTGGCTGGCTTTCTTGCTGAAATTGACAAGCTGACTCTAAAAGTTAAATGGAAATGAGTGGACCCATGTCACTTTTGGGCAGAAGCTCTAAGAACCAGTGATTCAGCCTTTTCCCTGACTTAGCGATTATACAAGCAGAGAAATAAGTGTACTTCTCTCAGCCTAATGACAGTGTAGTTTGAAAATGAAGAACTGAAGCACAGAGATTTAAGTGAGCTGCTCAAGGTCACACAGTTTGCAGGTTCAGACACCGTGATTTGGCTCCAAAGTCTGTACTGTTAATACCCACAATCCATTTACATTCCTACCACTTTCTAAGAGAATTGCTGTTTCTCTACACCATGCCAGCTGACCAACTTTTTTAATATTTAAAAATCTGATAGGGAAAAAGTAATTCTTATTAATGAGGTCGAGTGTATTTTCATGGTCACGGCTACATTTAACAACCTTTAAACTACTTGTTGAATCATTTGCCCGTTTTTCTGTTGCTTGCCTTTCTTAGTGATCTCCAGTGCTTGCTCTTATGATCAGTTTGTCTGGATTTCTCTTGTTTCAGTGACTGACCCTGAGGCCTGCTACATTGGCACGGAGCCTTGGAAACCCAAGGAAGCTTTGGAAGAGAATGGTATTATTACTGACAAGGCAGACATATTTGCCTTCGGCCTTACTCTGTGGGAAATGATGACTTTATCTATTCCACACATTAATCTTCTAGATGGTGATGGTGAAGGTATAACTATAAATTTTTAACATAAATTCTAATCTCTTAAATTTGAACTAAAGATTATTTTACAAAATTGTATTTTATCTTTCTATTAAGTTAAAATTTAAAAGAACATGTTGATTTAGTGGCATGAGATATCGATTTAGTTAATACGGAAGGTTGATTTGGTGCCCTTTCAGTTTAATCTCATACAGATGAGATGCAGGTTGAGACTAGGGGGATAAACTGAGAAAATCCAGAGAAGCAAAGTTACCTTTACCAAATCCCTTGCCCGAGAAAAAGATTGGAAAGCTAACAAGGAGCATAAAGTTACCTTTCCAACTGTGTTGCCTGAGGAAAGATCGGAAAGCTGTCAAGGAAGAGGTTAAAGGTTGAAAGCCCATAAATCCAGTGTTACTAATCTACACTGTGGCAGGACAATTGAAGAGATTGTCCGCGGTGTGATGAAAAGCATACTGGACTATGAAATGTTTCAGGAGGGTGAGTTTAAGCAGTGGCTAAGCTTCTGCACGACTTAAAGTGATTTTCTTTAATGGTTTGAATCTCCAACTCCCTCACGAACAGATGAAACTTTTGATGAAAGTGACTTTGATGATGAAGCATATTATGCAGCTTTGGGAACTAGGCCACCTATTAATATGGAAGACCTGGATGAAACGTACCAGAAAGTGATCGAGCTCTTCTCTGTGTGCACAAATGAAGCTCCTAAAGATCGTCCTTCTGCTGCACAGATTGTGGAAACTTTGGAAACAGATGTCCAGTAATAACCTCATGTTCATGACCACCTGACCTTCAAGTATGGCTCATGTATATAACTGCTGTGTACTGTAATACATCTGTATAGTTACTATGATCTGTAATTATTCAACATTTTGGTAGTGGCCTATTTTAGGACCATAGCAGCTGTTAACATTTGAACAACTTTCTGATATAAAGGTATTTCATGTATGCTTACGATAGGCATTTGAGATGATAGTGGGTTTTCTATAAAGTTTAAGAAATGAGCTACTCAGTATTTGAACTTGTTCATACAGATTTGACACTAGCAATAAAATGCTATAGTGTTTATCTAATGTTAATTTGGATTAAGTGACTTACTTTTATTAATGATCTTTCTCAGATATTTTCTATTTTAATGGATCTGCTGAAATCTTTGTGCAGTACAGAATGAGTCTACGTTAGCTTCACTTTTGCTGGCCTTCCTTGGCATGCGCTTGTTGTCACTGCCAGCTGAGAGACTGGCTCAAAAGGTTAGCTCCACATATTTTCAGCCAAGGCATGTCTTGTTCTCTTGGATCTCCCTAGACCTTTGGTTTTTGCTTGAATTTATCTAATGTATTTTCTGTACTGATCCTTTTTATTTACTAATCTATCTTAAGTATTTCAAAGTTCTGGTGTAAAAATGATAAAGCTCTTATAATATCGAATAAAGGACACTTTAGTTACCAGAAAGCATATTATCTTATTTTACACTCCTCTGATTCAAACGTCAGCAAACGTACCCGAGTGAGTGGGATAGGTTTGTTTCCTCTTGCCTTTATTTTGTTGATCTGTTAAATGAGGTGCTTTGTGTCAGTAGTGTCCATGTGTGAGCCACAGCCCCCCTGAGGACTTTCACTTCCTGAATTGTGCTTGTGAAGCTCAGTGGTCTACCCAGACTTCACTGCAGAATTTAAAAATAACTGTCACCTGGGAGATCTTAGAAAGATTAGGAACTATAGCACTCTGAACTTTAAACAATTCTAGAATTCACTGGAGGGGTCCTTTTAGTATGAGATTGTACCAGGCAATAGTATACAGATCATTAATGAGATATTTTCATCAAAATATTAAATTGACAAGAAAATAAATTGAAAGCTGACTTAATTTATGGAGAAATCACTTAAAATAGCCCCCCCAAAAGAGCCTCCTCTCCTTTGTTCTAGGGACATGCATGTGGTTTTGCCATAGCTTATCCTGAATTGCAATTCTCTGCAGTTCCTGGATAAACCCATTATGCTGGTAAAAAAATGGACAGCTTTATTTTTAAGGTTAACATTACAGAGAGCATGTACTACTTTTATAACCACAAAGACTAAAAGAAAAGCAGCACATTCAGTTGTATAATAAACAGGATATTGATGTTTATTTGGTTCATTATAAAAGCATTGAGCAAACAAAATAATGTTAACAAATGTTAAATAAAAGAGTTAAAGACAGCAGTGCAGAAAATAGCATGAAAACGTTTGCATAATTACATGTATTTTAAAGCTTCTATTATTTTCAGAACCCAGGCTTTCAAATTTTGGAACCATGTTAACTTACAGGTAAATAAAAGAATGCAGATGAACAGATTCTACAGTTACAACCTGGAAAATACTCCCTGTAGTCTTACTGCCAGATAGCAGGTTAAATGATTTTTTTAGAATCAAAAATAATCTGGATAATTCTTTGCTTTTCAAAATAAGTATCCAAGAATTACACTAGAAAAATGTGTGCATATTAAGGATCACTTGCATACTATCACCATGTTTTCTGGCCCACCAGCCTAAATATATTTATTTCCTAACCTTGGTTCTGTTACTATACATTTTATCAGCACTTTTGCCAGATGTTCCAGAATAAGTCACATGTATTTTAAACATGCAAACAAGTTTAAAACATAACCATGAGTCATCTAATCCAACTGGGTATCCATTTTATTAATGACATCAATCCCAGTAATACATTAAGGTGGCAGTTAGCATTTTCACACACCAGAAGTTAGTGAAATAGTGTGATTACTAAATTTCAATTTTAATTAAATGTGATGACAGGTATGCTTTGATTAACATGACTTTTAAAAAGATTTAAACTTAAGCCATAGAATTCTGTTCCACATAAAAGGATATGAAAACTGTACTCATTATTTGCCATCTTTCCCTTCTACAAATGAGAAATTGAAAGCACTTTCTAAATATATTCAAACTGAGTTGTTACAGCCAAATACCTACAAAATAAAAATTCTGTGTACAGAACTTCAGTACTATCTTTAAAAATAGGGCATGGAAATGATCTGTCTTAAAGTTTTCCTGTTTGCCTCTGATCAGGCACGAGAGAGCCCTCATCCAGGGGGTGGTCTGTGAAAGATCAGGGTCATCTTTCTGTGGGCAGCCGCCTTGCTTTGTCAATGCTCTTATGTAGGAAGCAAATAATTTTCCAGTTACAGCTACAAAGTTTTATAACAAGATTCAGCATTCTGTATATCATGCAAAGATTTTTTCCTTTCTCTGAAATGCCCAGATAATTTTCAACAAATTTATCCTTGACTTTTCAATTCATAAGAAACAAAACAGGCAATTTTGTGTGGATGTGTGTGTCCTAGTATTTTTATTTTGATATTTGTTAAATAGTTTGTATTTATGACAAGGGACTATCTGAACTCATACATACAATAACTTCTATAGTTGAAATTGGATTTAACTATTAAAATTGTATACAAGGAAATTAGGGGTGTTGCAGTACTTAGTTGCAAATAACTTGCCATCTGGTGTTGGGTCAGAAAACGCTATTTCGTCAGTGCTGAGGAAACAGCCAAACATGAAGCAATTCCTAAAAAAAGAAAGGAAAAAAATTTTACAAGAGACCAATTTAAAATTCTGATTAAACATTAGTACAATTTCAAAGCAAACCAACTATGAAATTTCAATTTCTTAAATAAGTGATAAAAAAAATAATGCCTTTGATTATAGAGATGGAAGGTTAATGATACTACTTAACAGATGAGAAAATGAGGTCCCCCAAAAAAAAACTTGAGAGAGAGGCAAAGGGAACCATACAAACCATTCAGCTGACTCTAGGGGATCCACAGTAATGAACAACTAATAAGAGCTAATACTGCTAATTAAGAGCCACAGATAATTAAAAGCAAAAAATAACCAACACCAATTTTAACCAATAACCATAATCTTCTAACTATACCACACACTCAGAGCTTTAAGAAGGCAAAAATGAATCTGCATTTTGACCATAACTCTCCTTGATACAGCTCAACTAGGATTGAAAGTAATGAAATGGTTGAAAGAATTCAACAAAACTGAGGGATACCCTATATAATAACTGGCCTGCACTCTTCAAGTTCTTCAAATGTCACAAAAAACAAAGAAAGGCAAGCACCAAATGATTTCACTCATCTGTGGAGCATAAGAACAAAGCAAAAACTAAATGAACAAAACAGCAGCAGACTCACAGAACCCAAGAAGGGACTAACAGTTACCAAAGAGAAAGGGACTGGGGAGGGTGGGTGGGAAGGGAGGTAGAAGGGGAATAAGGGGCATTACGATTAGCACACATAACATATGGGGGTGGGGGAAATGGGGAAGGCAGTATAGCACAGAGGAGACGTAGTGACTCTACAGTATCTTACTGCGCTGACGGACAGTGACTGTAATGGGGTATGTGGTAGGGACTTGATAATGGGGGGAATCAAGGAACCACAATGTTGCTCATGTGATTTTATATTAATGATACAAAAAAATTGGTTATAAAGATATGTGTTGATAATGTGAATTTCAAGAGTTCTCAATTTTGGTTTTGATAAGCAAGGTTAAAAAATAAAAATAATTTTTGTGTGCAGGATATATTCTTTTGAGGTCAATCATGGCTATCCTAACTTTTAATAGCTTTCAAAACCAATAGGGTTAAAATAATGTTAGCCTAGCTTTGAGCCCACAAAATAACATGCCCCATGAGGTGATAACATATCTGAGTTGATGCATGGGAAATGAGCATCTAAACTTTTGACTTCCAGATGGAAATTTATAACCTGAAATGGCAAATTACATGTAGGTTGTATGAGTTAGGGATCTTTAAAGGGTTCATATTAAAACCAAAGCTCCATATACCTAAGGGGAAAGTACACATAGTCGGAAACAAATTTTTGTATACGATCAATACTACAATGAAAAATTACTTCATTACTTTAAATCATGCTTGTTCAATGAGCTCACTGACATTCACAGTTATTTATATTTGCTCAGCACCAGAAGAAAATTCACTTGCTATGAGTGATGTCATACAATAAAATGACTTGATTGCATATTATATCTTTCAGTTTCATTCAAAAGAAGAGCTACACTTTCAGAATTGTAGGTGCCTAGGAGTGCAATAAAGACTAGTGGAAACCAAAATAAAAGAAAGGTTAAGAAATCATTCCACCTTAAGGAGGATAAAGACCAAAGAAATATAATGACTAAAAGTAATAGGTGGTCCTGGACTAAAAAAAAAAAAAAAAATGCTATGAAGAACACTTGAAACAAATGACAAAACAAATGTGGGCTATATATTAGATAAAAGTATTATATCAATATTAAGTATCCTGAATTTGATAATTGAACTGTGCTTATGCAAGAGAATATTCATAGGAATACACACTGAAGAATGAAGGGGTAAAGGGGCATAAAGTACATAACTTGTTTTAAAATAACTGGGGAAGAAAGTAAATGTTTAAAACTAGATGAATCCAGGCCAAGGTATATGAGGGGATTCTTTTTACTGTTCTTGCTCTTTCATAATTTGAAATTACTTCAAAATAAAAAATTGAACTGGATTCAATTAGAAAATATAAGCTTCTGGTACACTGAACTATAAAATCTAATACAAAGTTTATTGCTAAATTTACTAGAACCCAAAGCAAAATGTTAACTTGATTAAATAGTCCTTATGTCTTTATAAGTGATTATCAGGTACAAAAAGAACATTAGATCTGTAAGGTTTGAGTCCTAACTCGTTTTATTAGCATCAGAGTACATTTATAGTATTAATAATACCACCTGAGCCTAAACTGCTTCTTATGTGAAATAACTAGGAATAATACTTTACTCTTCGAGGATTTAAACGTACATTGCCTGTGTAGACAAGGAATTCAGCCTAACGCTCCTCAAAGACAGGACAGCATGTCAATTATGTTACTTGTATTGTCAACTCAGAAGTATGAGAAAAGCTAAGTATGTTCTCATACATAAGTTGAAGGCAACTTAAATCCTTAGAGACACCAATTTTTCTCACTGCTCCCCTTTTATAAAGTATGTGTGGGTGACTAGGATTATGGCCCAAGGCTGGATCCCCACAGTGGTCTTTGATGTTCTATCTTAAAAGTGTGTAGAATGCAAAAGGCTAAAATAGTGCTACTCAAAGTGAGGTCCTTACTTTGGTTGAAGTGTAACCTGTTAAGCATAGAAGTTGAGATAGTGGTGTTGTGAAACTCACCCATCCAACCTAGGTTAGGTAAATTAACAAGCAAAATCCATTTGTCCACTGGAAAATTTAAATACACATTGTTAGTTCAAGTGTGCACACAGGTAAAATGGAGAATTCACTAATTTTTCATTGGGATATAATTCATATGCTTTAAGACTCACCTTCTAAAATTATACATTAGTATATACACAAGATTGTGCCTAATCACCAATATCTAATTCCAGAACATTTTCTCAC